ATTTCTGGGTCACTTTGTAGATGAAGGATCAGAGTTGGACGCACAGCCGGAGGAATGGGCGGACTCCAGGAGGTGTTTTAGGAGGAATGTGGAGTTCCTGTTGGGTGACACGCGCGGAGTTGTATTCCTGTTGGGCGGCTCCTCCAATCATTACAGAGGAATTTATAGACCCGAGACAATTATATGTGAACAGGAATTTCTTCCCCATAAAACATAATGAAATGTTCTTCTTCATTGTGTCTGAATTCCGACTCGCAGTCGCTGGAGATTCTGCCGACAACAAGCTCAAGTCTTTTATACTGAAATATTATTTCCTGCCCGGCGATCCGCGGCGACAAGCCTGCAATGGTGCCCAGCACATGTGGCCCGTTGGACCTTGCTGTGCGACGCGTTGCAAACCGCAGAACGCAATAGTGGAAATATTCATTCTCAAGAGGCTGTAATCATGTCACTGATCTCTAGCAGTCTCGTGTTGCACGTCCCCAGACTCTGACCAACTCCTGTAGTATGTCTCGTTCACACCAGATGCAGTGCGCTCCGGCCCGATTCTGGCCAGAACGCGCTGCCTCGCTTTGCAGCCGGCTCACTTTTTTTGTGGGGCAGGAGGGGGGCGTGACGGGCTGTTGAAGTGAATGGCGCCGTAGCCACGCCCTCCGACCGCACGGGATCGTAAGGCGCATTATGTCTGCGGTCCGGTGCGATCAAAATAGCGCTTGCAGCGTTTTAATCGCACCGGACTGGACCTCAGGCACGATGTGCCCTGCCATTCCGTGCGGCCGAAGGGGCGTGGCTACGGTGCCATTCACTTCAATGGCCCGTCACACCCCCTTCTGCCCCACAAAAAAGTGAGCCGGCGGCAACACGGTGCAGTGCGTTCTGGCTAGAATCGGGCCGGAGCGCACTGCATCTGGTGTGAACGGGCCCCAAGTCTCCAACCACCCCAGTCTCATGGCTGCACTCTCTGACCGTCCCCTCTAATATGTTTGAAGTCTTTGATAATATTCAGTATAGGAAAAAAAGACCGTGTGTGGCCCTTTGGAGCTGTCAGGGGCCATATTTAAGGCTCTCTGCACCTTGCAGGATGACGGCCACTGCTCTGTACAATAAAGATTTACA